CCCCAAAACCCCAAAACCCCAAAACCCCAAAACCCCTTCTCTTGAGAAGATACTGAATGAATTTAAGCATGATTGGCTAAGCCACATAGATTTTCTCACTATATAGCATCATTGCTTCAGAGCTGACCTTGTCAAGCTCATCATAGAGCTCCTTCTCTTTGAGAAGAACCCCAGAACTTCTGTTACAGATAGGGAGTTTCTGGATTTGACCCCAAATGTCTTGCTTTCTTTTATCAAGCTTCGCGATGAGGAGGATCCTCTCATCCTCATCAAGAAGCTGAGCACTTTTCTGTGCAGAGTACGAAGCATTATTTTAGAGAATGCTTCTGTTTCCTAACTGGAGAATAGCTGTTATTTTGTAGATTCTTCCTTGTATAGCTCTTTTTAGCGGTCTTTTTAGGTTGTTTGTAGTTCCTAAAGTACTCTTCAACAAGCTTCGCTTCTTGCTCCAGAAGTTCGTGGTTCTTACGGTTAGCAATAGAGCTCCCTGCCATTGAAAGGACACCTACTTTGCTAGCTTTGGATACGGTATCTTTACTGTCATTAGTTCCATGATAATAATGATGGTCGAAAGACTTATTTCCCATTATGATGATTCTGTATTTGACGATTCCTAGTCACCCGATTATGTACTGGGGCATGAGATTCAGCCTTTATTTTCCAATCTATTTGTAAGTAAGAAAATTACTTCTTTTCACCGATTTCAGCTTGGGTTCTCTACCTATGAAGACCAGTGAGAATATGTCATTGAGGTCGAAAAAGAATGGGAGCAAAGTGCTACTGTAAGACCTTACTTTTCTCAGCTTGTTTATTTTTGAAAATCCTCGTGTTTCCTTTTAATCATCTCTTTGTACTGTTTCTTAAACCTTCTCCTATTTTCTCGTGCCAGTATTGCGCTAAAAATTAGTCAATGAAATTTCTTGCTAGATCTCCAATTTTTAAATGAAATTAGGCAGAATAGTCACAAAGAGGATTACTCAAAGTTTTCCTTGGGTTGAAATGCATAATTAAGGCTATGCTTCTCTCTTCTCTGAACTTGTTGAATACTTCTCATTTTATTTACACTTTTAAATTTAATATAACCAAATATAATTCGTAATTAAGGGGTTTTGGGGTTTTGGGGTTTTGGGG